AACTGTAATTAAACAGCACAATGTGCAAATATAGCTTTTAGTACAAATAGCTGAGGACATAAAAGGAATACGAACGGAACTACAGACAATACGGGAGTTACAACAATCAAAAACAGTACAATCCCAAATAGTACCGGACGAACTCATCTCCAAACTAGCAAATCTCAACTTAGGTCCTTCGGAAAGACCTAAAGAAGCAAAAGGAAAAATTCTGGTTTTCAAAGACCCCATAAAAATCTTTCGAGAAGCAAGAAGATGACTACCAGAACTCAAGAGGTATCTACATCAACTCCTCTCGTGGAAGACCAAATCAGGAATTACAGGAGAAACCAGAGGAGAATATTCAACGCCAGAAGGCGACTCGGGCAGCTTATCTCCAGAAACACGGACTCAAATATACAAATTCTGGAACAATAGATAGACCCTCAAGCGCAACTACAATTATCTATGAGGGAAAGGGCTGCAATAGCACCTGCTGAGGTGCTATATCATTCAAGAAGAGATGATGTACATCATAGGGTCTACACACACCGGTCTGAAGAAGCCATGTTGGTCACAAATAACCAGGAAGACAGGGCTTTTATACAAGAACAAAGTTTTGACCAACTGATCCGAAGTGGAATGAGATACATTCATCTCGGGATCCTTCAAACAAGGATTCAGACACTCCACCGGCAAGAAGAAGGAACACTAGCACTATTGGTGTTCCAATAGTATTTACTTTTCTTAGCACTGATACCAGAATTAAAATTGGTGCCGTGGTATTATAATATGCATCATCGTAGAGTTTGATTTAGACTATGTTGAATCTTGACAAAGACATCAAGTTTTTGAATGGTAGGTATTATAATATCACTTATTAGTCCCATATCAAAAGTGGACAAGACTAAGATTGACTTATAAAGATAGGATCACTTCACTTTAAATATTTTGACTAATGAATCGAACATAGTTATTATGTTAATCTGTCGACTTATCGAGTAACTAACTTATCAACTTTAATTTAAATATTTTAGCTAATAATTTAGTCTAAATAAAATTAATATACCAATTAATCCATCACACCCTCGGATCATCACATCAAAGTCACAAAGAAAAAGCATTGCATTGTATCATGTACCATCAATTCCCAAAGCTAAACTTGGTGTTAGCTTTTTTATATTTGTTGTAGGAATGGTTTTATTTGTGTGCGTCTATCGTATATTAATTGCAATAAATCTATTATAATTGTGCATGGAAATAATACATTGTTGGAATGTACTCAACACATGTTTAATGCAGTTCATATTGATGATTTAGGTGATGGTGGCAGGTGAGAAGAAGCAAAAAGTACATGTAGTGAATGCATTACGCCATAATTACGGGGAATTGCTTCCATGATTTCCACCACTAAGAGTTAGAAAATGATCACATCAACCCATCCTCAATGCAAATGCAGAGTTCATGTAGATATAGGAGATGGTGGCAGGTGAGAAGAAGCAATGAATGCATAATGTTATAACTAAGGGGAATTGATTCCTTGATTTGCATCAATAAGGGTTGAAAATGATCACATCAACCACACATTTCTACAAGTCAAAATCACCTTTTCGTTTCGATTGGTGTCACGGGCAGGACCACGACTTAAACCACACTGGACGCATGTGCACGTGCGACACGCTGCGTGGCCCAAGTCGTCCCCGTCCGTCCCGAAGCTGTCGCGGACGCGCCGTTGACCGCGGTGACACGTGCACGTGACGTCGATCGCTTTCGAGGTTCCACGTCCGCTCCTCGCTTCGACCGGTGCGAACGGAAATGAGAAAAACGAACCGGACCGGCTCCCCACCCAACACCACCGGCCCACCTCGTCCTTATCCCCACCACCGCCACCGCCACTGCCACTGCCACTCAACCACCACCCCACCCACGGGCTTCGCTATACCCACCCCCGCACCGACGCCACTACCTAACTCCCGCCACGAACCATAACCCTAGTCCTGAACCGCATTCATTCACGCGCATCCGAACCCATGGCCGCCGCCGGATCGGCGGAGCGCCGCCCCGGGCCTCCGCCGCCGCCGCCCCGGAAGCCCGCCCCCGGCCAGCCATGGTCCCACATCGAGACTGCCCACCTGATCGACTCCTACGAGGAGCGATGGCACGCCTTGAAACGCGGCCAGCTCAAGGCACATCAGTGGGAGGATGTTGCCGCCACCGTCGCGGCCCGCTGCGGCCTCGACGAGCCCTCCAAGACCGGCACCCAGTGCCGCCACAAGATCGAGAAGCTCCGCAAGCGGTACCGCGCCGAGCGTCTACGCCCCGTGCCCTCCGCCTGGCCCTTCTTCGGCCGCATGGACCGCATGGAGCGCGGGCCCCTTCCCCTCTCCATCCGACCCCCGGGTCGCCCGCCTCCCTCCTCCGCCCTCTCCACCGACGAGGACGATGCCGACGAAGCCGACGACGACGACGACGAGGGCGAAAGGGCGGGGAGCAACACTCGGAGCATCAACGGGATCCTTCGGGAGCCCAACTGGGGGCCATCTAAAGTTCGCAGGAATCACGTCCTCCCCAAAAGGAGAAATTTTGAGGTGGAGGAAGGGGACTCCGAGCAGGAAGAATCGGAGGGGGAGGGCGCAAGCGGTGTGGAGGCCATGTCGCAGCTGGCGGCAGCTGTGAGGGGGTTCAGCGACACCTTGGTGCGGATGGAGAAGAGGAGGATGGAGCTGATGAGGGAGATGGAGAGAGATTGGATGGAGATGGAGACGAAGAGGGCCGAGATGTTGAGGGAGTCGCAGCGATGCCTCTTGGACATGATCGCCGACGCTTTCCCTTCATCCAAGAAGGCCAAGAAGTCTGGGAATTTATAAGCTACTGCCGCAAAAGGTCATGCAACCTCATGCTCTTGTCCTTTGTTCTTTCTTACCACTCTATTAACAACCACCATATCTTGGATGATGATAAGTAATTTAGTGGGCCTTTCCCTCTCTATTTATTCATTTTTATGCCCATTTAATTGCTTTCATTTTTCTCCTACGCACATCTGTAGGTGGGAACTGTAAGGATTGGGTAACAGTATGCTGTTGTTGAATATAAAGATCATAAGTTTTAGCATCTTAAAAGTCAATGGTAGTTTGCTTGCTAAAGTTCTGATTGGTTTGAGTTGCCACAAAAAAGTTTGCCCCTTTTTTGCATGCTATATAGTATACATCAAGTAAGAGTCATCATATTGTTAATACTCCAAAAGATTCTTTGGTCAAGGTACTGAAAAGGATGGATAATTATAGGAATTTATTCATCATAAGGTTAGATATGTTTTTCTTTTTATGGCAAGCATGAAGGAATGGATACTGGAGAAATAAGTTGACATAACTCAATGGAACAGTGGTAGATATGCTTTGCTATTGTATAGGATAGGTTTCACCTTTATGTCCCTTTACAATAATATTATTTGAATTCTGTCACTTAACATTACCTCACCAACTTAAACTGTTACTCTTCACTAGTGATTACTATGCTTCTGGAGGCCAATGCCACTAAGATAAATCAGTGTTTTCATGCGGCCTTGAAGATACGGCATTGAGCACTATATGTTTGGGTTACAAAGGCAGTTGTGTCACATTCACAGTACATATTACGATGCCATGGTTTAATTAATTTTCATGTATATACAAACATATCAGAAAAGTCATAATGTTCTAGGCCTCTGATGCAGTTGTGTTTTGCAGTCGTTTTCATGATCACACTTGATGGAATGGCCTAGAATACTTGGCTCATGTTAATAGTAATTTAGGTTTCGTATGTTGTTTATCTAGCAGAAAGACTTTGAATATTTGTCATGTCTATATTGTGTCGTCCGTGATGGAATTGATTCTTACTAAACACTTTTCGGCATATCTAGAATAGTTCAAAACATATTAGGATTTTGATACAATTTATGTTATTTATACTTAGGACACCTCTACAAGGCTTCAATGAATGATGGTTATGCTTTTATGAGGTTCATATATAATGAACATAGTCTTATATCAGAGAAAAATATAAAACGTAATAATATATGAAATTATACATGTCTTGTCATGTTCATGTGTGTTATGTCCTGCTATAAAATTTATCAGACCATTGTATTTGTATCGTGTCATGGCTATGAGCATGCTTCATAGCTTATCATTGTCTAAAACAAATCAACTTTTCTGTGGTGTATGACTTGAATCCAATGCCCAAAAGGCTGAGAGGCTTTTTTTTTTTCTAATTTTTATTTAACCGCAGCTTTTGTGTCTAATGTTGAAGTTTTAGTCTTTTGTACACCATGGAAGATACTCTCTTCATTGTTTCCACTTGTAGTTGAGGTTTGAAATTTAGCCTATCAGTTCTCTTTCACTTAATCCTGTAAGACGGCATATGATGTAAATATTCGTATCTTTGCTATTTGTGTTTGTTCACTATGGCCAATGTGACGTTGTGATTGATGCTGTCATTTGTTCGACTTGATTAAATAAGTTAATTTGTTCATCTATAAGCTTTGCTACTTATCACATATGTGCCCACTGATGACCGACTAATATTTATTTCAAAAGGCAAGTTATAGGTTGTGAAAAAGACTCGGGTGGCAATTGCCAAATTTTCGCTTTTCGAATATATATCATTTTGTTTCCTGTTATGTTCATTAGAGCGGCCTCAAGGCAGGTTTAACTGCTATCATTTTGAGACTAAATTGTTTGGCGGAGAAGAAAGCCAAGGTAGTCCATTTTGCCGAACTAGTGTGTTTAATGCACCAGAAAAATTGATCAAGTTGTTGAAGTGATCAGATGAAGTGTTTCATAAGACGAGAAGAACGCTATGATTTTGTTATGATTTACTATTGGCTGCTAGAATCTTTCCATGCCTTGAAGACCAAGGGGGCATTGTGTGGTTTGTGAGTGGCAAAGAGATTTTTCTTATAATATTAACTTATAGGAATGCAACCTTTTAGAGCAGTAATACATTGTTAGAAGAGCAACTGGTGCCAAAACAAGATTCAAGATATAAATGGACACTAGTTCTTGAATGTTTTAGTAGAGTGTCATGATCTCATGATTTGGTAGTTGTGGTCCTTGAAACTAGAACAAAAGGGAGCCAAGTAGTTCTATGTGCTACCAAGGTTTTACTTTCACTCCGAGATCTGTACTGGTTCGACCACAAAGACCGGTATGGGACTGGCATGGCACCGGCGTATCAACACATGGTACGCTGGCATATTGGTTGGCACGGACCAAATAAAAAGAGGGAAAGAAGAGAGGAGGGCTGTTGATGGTCAACAGTTGTTGATAGCTATTTTGGCTATCGATAACCCTGCTATTGACAATCAACAGCCTGTCAATAATCATCCAGATTAAAAAATAAAAAACCGGCTACGAATGGACCGTTAAATTGCCCGGTTTGAGTGCTGGTTCCTGGTCAGACCAGTAAATACCAGTCTAGCTGGTCTTTTTTGAACCTTGGTTGCTATACTTGAAGAACTTTTACTAATCAAGCTTATATAGGAATATTAGCATCCAAAATTATAATCAACATAGTTACTAATAGATCTGATGCATATAATGAACTTAATACCAAATGAGTGTAACTATGATGAGTTACTTTCCGCATGCTTTCTTTTTTTGTTGAAACAAGAAGGATTTGTGTGGAAATAACAGTAGATTAGAACCAATTATGGAGTTCTCAACTTCAGTGTGGATATTAGCATACAAGTGGAGCATCCATCCGATACTTTGGTTTTGCATCAAGCACCTACTTGGCATGGTAATTTAAAGGATCTGATGTTAATAAATGAATATGAAGATTCTGGCTTCAGTGGAGCTCCAAAAGTCTGTCATCTCTGCTTAGCTTATATGGCAGATCTTTAAGTTTCTTGTAGCAGGGACAGACTGATGAATTGAAGCAGAGGTATGCCTTCATATTACTTGGGCATTCTTCTGATCATCTCTGAGAGTTCATTGTGTAGTTTTATGAGTTTATATGATGCTTTGCCTATTTTCCATGTGTATAAGCATGGGAAGATGATGAGGAACTGATGTCACAGGAAACATCCATGACTTGATAAGAAAATGTTAGATGAGATGCAGAGCCCAGCAAGTCTCCTAGGATTAGACATACACAAAGTAGAAAAAGAAAGAAGTCATGACCATTTGTTCACTTCATTTTTAACCCTGCCTGGTGATAGCTTTTCTCTCACTGAAGTACATTTGTTCACTTCAATGCTGTTTTATTGTTTTGTGCATATTTGATCAATTAATTGATAATAGGAACAAATGTTATCACTGTTTGTATATGTAAATAAATAATTATATGCTGCATTAGAGGGAGACATGCAGTTGGCTCAACATATCTGAAGCTGAAAGGAGACAATCTATATTGGTGTTGTGTTCTTCCCTCTTTGTTTACCTTGGTTTGACTTTGTTGACTAATCTTTCTTCTTATTGTTATTGTTAGGCCTCTTTCAATCTTCAAGAATTGGCTTCACTTCATGCATATTCTCCTTCATGTATGAAAGTGCTGCCTTGAGATACACATCATTTCAGCAGGTCATCAACATGTGCATGCATGACTTTGTGCAATCAAGATGAGTCAAAATATTTTTTTTCTAAAAAATAAAAAAAATTCTATTATATCAAATAATATTTACATATGGATTCAGAACATGAGATTTATTATTTATATAATAATGTATTTATCAATTTGAATGTCTCAGTCAAAAAAAATATTTAAAGTATTTTATGTATTTAAAATTTTAATTATTATTTAAAATAAACTTTAAAATCCTACTCCTTTGACTAGCAAAAAATAATTTAAGTTAGCCATTCTAAAAGACTAATATGTCCTATTAATGAGGAGCCTAACACCAATACCCAAATAAAAAAGGCTAGATAATTATTATTTTATTGAAATTAATTGGGCCCCGCCTCGCATCCTCTCTCACCACACACGGGTAGGAGAAACGGGTACGTCGAAGACGGGGTGTGAATAAAGTTTCGCTAGCCATGACGCCGCCGCCATTATTAGTTCTCGAGCCCTCCCGACGCAATGACTAATTTGCCCTGCGAAGCCTAATGGCATTCTGGTAATCCTATCACCTATAAATTGAGGCAGTCGCGGTTAAAGGCGCGTTCCGGCAAGCCAAGCCGCTGTTGATTTGCCGGAGCCTTTTCCGTTGCGGTAAGATTTCTTCTTCTTAATCTCATCTCCTTGTTGTTTGATAGTTATCACTTGATCTACGCAATTGTGTTTCAGTTTATGCGTGAAATCATTGATCCTGTCGATTGTTTATTGTTCTTGCGTTGTGGTTTGGGGGTTTTAGGTTCGCTTATTTTGTTTGTCAAGGGTGGATCGATGAAAAGAGATTGTTTCGGTTGTCTGATACGATACATGACGATACCATTTTCAGGGTTTCCGACGAACCGGCATTTTTCATTGTCTAGCTATTTGATATCATCGGATCTTTCCGGACGTCGTATATTTATTAATTCTATGCGTTAAAGATAAAATGATAAAAAATACACTTTTCAGTGGATCAAGTGATTCTGATATTGCGTGGAACAGCATTGCGAACTACGTTCTATGTGAATTTCTAATCCTTGTTTTCACCAGTCTCAAAATGCCTGGAAAGTTTATATCTTTGTTCAGATTTGGACATCTCTGTTTGTGTTTTAATTGTAATGCCCTTTTACAATTTTGAGATGGGTAGCATCCGTCGGAGAATTGCAATAATATTTCTAGACTGGTCGCTTATGTGTTATTATATGCATTCATCGACGGTTCGTGTACAAGATTATGTTACTCGATTGCTGAAACCGAATGATGATATATCTGTTTAATGGTTTTTAAAAACATTTTATAATGTGTGTCTCCTGCTATGGTGTAGCAAAACCTATTTTGTAAATTTCTGGGCGTCTGCTGCCTTGGATATATCATTAGCTTCCTTGTGAAATTATTATTTAGTAATGCAGAAAGTACAATATGAAATTAGAACTTCTTTGTATCGTGGAAAAGAAGTCTGATGAAGGTTATTAGTATGCTTAATATTCTTTGGCCAAAGATAACGTTATGCTTTGGTTTCTTTCACATGGAAAAACTTCAATTACTTTTGTTCCTGTTATTTCCAACCCTTCTCCATTTTGTTTCCTCATAGTGGCCCTTCTTCCTTTTTGGCCTTCATTTCATTGACTTCATCATTTCTCCGATTCCGTGTACTTATCTTTATCCTCTTTTGCTTCTATTTTTTTTCTCCTACTATGCCGTTTAACATTCTGCTTCATGCTGCTATTTGAACTCTTGTGGTTATAGTTAAGAATACACAGGGTATTTGGTATATGAGCAGCATAGTTGGATGGTATAATCTGTTGGGTATAGTAATGTTGCTTTGCACAATTTTTTTATTTATAGCATTCAGTATCAATTTTAATAATATCTTCAAACATTTCTGGAGAGGTTCTCATTTGTTTTATATACTTAGTGAGTAGACATCTTTCTTTTTTTCATTTTGAGGTATAATTTATGCATTGTGAAAGCAGTAATAATTGCTTAACCAAATTGATGCTTGTAAATTTTGTAGGAAACTTGGTCTAAAGATTTAAGATTGTGTCATTATGTACCAATAGGTTCTGGTACTCTGTTACTACTATGTTAATGCTTCTAAATAGTTCATTGGAATATGTCTGCAAAAGAAAGAACAGAAATTTATAGAAGATCCATGGTATTAAAGACTGATTGTGTTTGGTGATACTTCTATAATAATTCATTTCCGTTCACTTTTCTTGGGAGTGTGCTACAATGGTCCTATGTTTTTCTTGAGTATATTTGATCTTTTGTAAATAAATTTTCAATTTGTTTTTTGTTATTTCGTCAATATTAATTGGCTAACTGTCAGTCAAAGGTCTTGGGTTTTGAAGTTGATATCAAAGCTAATATCCTTGCTTGACCTTTTCATGTTCTTTGTTCAGCAAGAAATAAGCAATGGGAAAGGAGAAGGTTCACATTAACATTGTGGTCATTGGCCATGTCGATTCTGGAAAATCTACAACAACTGGACATCTCATCTACAAACTTGGTGGTATTGACAAGCGTGTCATCGAGAGATTTGAGAAGGAAGCTGCTGAAATGAACAAGAGATCTTTCAAGTATGCCTGGGTGCTCGACAAGCTTAAAGCTGAGCGAGAGCGTGGCATCACCATTGATATTGCTTTGTGGAAATTTGAGACCACAAAGTACTATTGCACAGTCATTGATGCTCCTGGCCATCGTGATTTCATTAAGAACATGATTACAGGAACTTCTCAGGCTGATTGTGCTGTTCTCATCATCGACTCCACAACTGGTGGATTTGAAGCAGGTATATCAAAGGATGGTCAGACCCGTGAGCATGCTCTTCTTGCTTTCACTCTTGGTGTCAAACAGATGATATGCTGCTGCAACAAGGTATTGTCTGTGATTGTGTTGTGGTAGCAATTGATGTCTTTGTTATTGAAAATTTGGTACCTAAAGATGTTTCTTTCTTACAGATGGATGCCACAACTCCCAAATACTAAAGGCACGATATGATGAAATTGTCAAGGTGGTCTCATCCTACTTGAAGAAAGTTGGCTACAACCCTGAGAAGATTCCTTTTGTCCCCTTATCTGGTTTTGAAGGTGATAATATGATTGAGAGGTCCACCAACCTTGACTGGTACAAGGGCCCGACTCTCCTTGATGCCCTTGATATGATTCAAGAGCCCAAGCGTCCAACGTACAAAGCCCCTTCGTCTTCCCCTGCAGGATGTCTACAAGATTGGAGGCATCGGAACCGTGCCTGTTGGTCGTGTTGAAACTGGAATCCTGAAGCCAGGTATGGTCGTCACCTTTGGTCCCACGGGACTCACAACTGAAGTCAAGTCTGTGGAGATGCACCATGAGGCACTCCAAGAAGCGTTACCTGGCGACAACGTTGGCTTCAATGTCAAGAATGTTGCTGTGAAGGATTTGATTTGAAACGTGGTTATGTTGCCTCAAACTCGAAGGAAGACCCAACAAAGGAGGCTGCCAGCTTCACCTCACAAGTTATCATCATGAACCATCCAGGTCAAATTGGGAATGGTTATGCTCCTGTATTGGATTGCCACACCTCTCACATTGCAGTCAAATTTGCTGAGTTGCTAACCAAGATCGACAGGTGATCTGGCAAGGCGCTGGAAAAGGAGCCCAAGTTTCTTAAGAATGGTGATGCAGGTTTTGTAAAGATGATTCCCACTAAGCCGATGGTGGTGGAGACCTTCTCCGAGTACCCTCCTCTGGGTAGGTTCGCTGTAAGAGACATGAGACAGACTGTTGCTGTAGGTGTCATCAAGAGTGTGGAGAAGAAGGATCCAACAGGAGCCAAGGTTACAAAAGCAGCACAGAAAAAGAAATGAAAGTGGAATTGTGGATCATTGCAGTCTGGAGTCATTATTGGTCGTGGTGTTGTGTGTTCATGCCCTTCTCTTGAGGACTCTGCAGGTGTGGTATCTGGACCCAGAACTGGGTTCTCGACAGGCAGCGGCGGGGTTGAAGATCCGGCGTCTATTTTGTTGTTTAATGTCAACTAACGAGTTTTCGGAAATCTACTAAATGTAAGGACTGTATTGCAGTGACTTGTGTTATTGTCTGGTACTCTGTTTCCTAAATTTACTTGCTGACTATGCTGCTATAACATATGGATTTCCAGTATTTAGCGAAGTAGGATCTGAATCTTATTTGCTCAGCCTTTTTGTTTGTTGGATCTCTACTCTTAGGGTCTAAATGAAGTTGGTTCTATAGATCTGTCACCATAGTTACTTTCCAACTGTGCTTGTATTATGCTGTTAAGTAATATATGCGCCTCTTATTTCAAGAACATATGAATATATATTTGTTATTTTTTTTCTTCTGTATTTTGTAACAGCAGAATTCATCGATGAAGCTATCACTCATCAAGATTCGAATTCATTACTGTGCTATGTTCTTTGAACATGAAATATTCATGACAACTACTATATGATCTCTCTCGGAAAAAGACACTAGCAAATCAAATTAAACATCCATCACATCAGTTCTTGACTAATACAAGCGGAAGATTCCATGTCCCAACCATTCTTATCAGCTTCGTATACGTGTCCGGTTAATGTGATGCCACATCAACACCAGTCACTATTAGTCAAAATAGTCATTTAAACATGTGAATTCTATTTCTAATGAAAGATATGACCCAATCGACCTACATCCAATGCATGTAACCATTGCAAGACAATAAACATTATAATCATTGATTGTAGTACAATTTTTTTTTTTTGTTGTCTTAAATAAAAAACTCCCACTTTCTTTTTCTCCCATATTTTTATTTTCTTTGTCTCCTTTCTTATCTTTCTCAATTCTCATAGTCTCTCTTTCCACTAAGACCTCCAATCTCAGTCTCATCTCCACATGTGACAAGGAGGTAAACATCCAAGGTGGTCCCTACGGATGATGTCCAAAGGCCTTCTGCCACATCGCCAACTCGAGCGGGACCCGCCATGAACCTCATCGTTCTTTTTCTTCTCGGACCATCCGATTAATATATGTCTTTGATGTTCCATCAATCGAGACCATCCGATTAATTTATAGGAGAGACTCGGTCCATCAATTACAAATTAATGCTGCCGACCTCCTACCAGAAACGTCCGTCATCACTGTCAAATCAATTGGCACAAAGGACAACATTTGCTCGTTCGTGTCACGAAGCAATGATAACCTCGTCGCATTCCAAGACAACTCTCGGTCATGAGAACGTGGATTGTAATGTGACCGACGAATTTGATTTCACCTCCGTGTCTTTTACCTACGTGATTGCATTTGTGGAGCTTTAATCTCGATCGTTCGTTCGCGGGTGCCGGCACGTCTCTGGTGGCACAATCAAGTGTGTGTGTGGATCTCAAAGTAAGATGAAGGTAGATCAACGGCGTAGATCTGTTCTCCGCTCTTTTAATGCTCCCCGACACCTGCTCTCCGCTCTCTCACATTCTTCTTCTTGGAGAGAGAGAGAGAGAGAAGAAGCGTCGATGATGTTCATGGGGAAGCAACCGGGGACGCCGATGAGGCGGGCACCGAGCTCGACGGAGTTCTCCCCCTCCGTCCTCTTCGATGTCGGGGGCCCTCGGCCGTCCGATCACAACGCGATAGTTCACTACCTTCAGCCGAGGGAGGCGGCGCAGGTGGAGTCCATTCCGTCGCCCCGCAGCGGGGTGCACAGTGGGAGGTCTGGCGACGGGACGGCGCCCTTCTTGAGGGCCTGCGGCCTCTGTAACCACCGCCTCGGGCCTGGCCGGGATATATACATGTATAGGTACTGCTCTCTCTATCACTTCTTCTCGCAACCAAAATGTTGCTAATATTTTCGAGTCAAAAGATCGTCTTTTTTCCTTCTCATGGGATTGATTATTGTGGTTCGAGGTGGAAGGCGAAGCTTAGATTCATCTTTTGATTAATGTTCATGAACTACTAGGATTCATGATTTTTATTCTCAAAATTTAAAATCTATTTGATGATTTTGAGGAAAATTGTGGTGATAATAGCGTGAAACTTATCTCCTTCCAAAGCTCAATATTTCTTATTCGTTGATGGTTTGGGGCAGAAATCGAGAATGAGTCTTGGGAGATCTCTTAATGAGGTTGAATCCTTTAGTGTATTGCTCCAATCTTGCAATTGATTATATATGCGTATGTCATTCTACCTTTTCATTTGATTTATTTCTTTATAATTGGTTTCAAATTCATATCTCTGAATTTTGTAGTATTAAGTCCCTTTTATTTGGAAAAAAATAATATTCTATTTTGATGATAGTACCTAAAATTATATGTTGTAGATGAGACAATATCTACTGATTTGCATTATTCTTAATACATCAAAATTACAAATTGACATTACTTTCACACATCTTTGTTGCCTTCTCTTGGTGTTGATCATTTGAGTGTTTAGGACCTTAAATTTTCTCAGCTAATTTAGATTCTTTATTAGAAAAAACATTTATGTGTGAGATAAAGATTGAAAGAGGAAAAAGAACAGAAAACTACAAATAATCTCATTGTATTGGCATTCAATCTTATACAAATATTAAATTTTCTGGGATTAAATTCTCAATATTTTTGCATGCATGCTAACTCAAATAGTGTTATGAGTGTGGGATCCTTCATATGTTGCAGGGGTGAAATTGCCTTCTGCAGCCTCGAGTGTCGCCAGCTACAGATGAATCTGGATGAGGAGAAAGAGAAGTGTGCTCTCTCTGACCTCTCTAAAGAATAGTCCCCTGGAAATGACTTGCTCCAGCCAATCATATGGTTGGAGGAACTGCCACTTGATTTTGTTGTGGATAAACTGTATATAAAATATTCAGTGGCTCTGCTGCAGATGCTATGCTGCAATCAAATACATGTAAATTTTCATGGTTTTCCAGCATCATTGTCAGAAGAGGAGAAGAAATGTAAACTTGATGATATAATATTTTCTTTTGTAGCTTTTTTTGGTGTATATGAGAAGTGACAAGATCCTACACTGCATTGTAAATTCCCTTTTTTTCCCCCTCTAATAGAATGGAATGCAATCTTGCTTTACTTCTGATTAATGTTAGTATCAGATGACTGTTTTATTCATGATCAAGTAAAATGCTTTTTTTTAGCTTCCAGTTTATTAAGATTTGATTATAATTTAATGAGCTTAAACTTTTGGATTGTATTAGCATTATGTATATAAATAGTTTTCATGTGTATCAACCTTTACCAAGTTTAAGAATGTGATCACCACTATAAAAAAATAGATAGAAAATTAGCACATAATCTTTATTGGTGATATCAACACTTTGTGTTTAATTAAGTCCACAAGTTTGAGATGTGATAGAATAATTTGATGCCTTCATTATGTTCCATAAGAACCTGTAAGTTATGATGCTCACCATGATATATTTTCTTTTACTTATGACTAGTCCTTAACTATATGCACTAAAATATGTCTAACTTTATTTGGCTGAAATGCTTTTACTAATTTTTTATTAAACATAATTATATGAACACAATATCTAAACTTAACAAGTTTATCAATCTCATAATTTAATGAAATATACAATTGGTAAGGTCATTAAGTTGGAAGGTTTCAAACTTGATGACATGATCTCCAATCACACAATGCTATTTCTTAATCTTACAAAGTAAATAAACAAGCAAATGAAAAGATGCACTAGATTATGAAGATGGATTTCCTACAAGATATAAAAGACAGATTCTCTAAACAACATGACAATATTTCCAGAGACTACTACTACATGGAATAGATATTATTTGTCATGTTTCATGTCATAAAATTATTTTGCCTGGTGACATTATTAATACTTTTGAGATGTAGAATGACTTCCAATGATGTGAATCCTTGGAAAGACCAATCAAAGTGACCACTAGTCTATTGATTGAGTGGTTGAATTAAGGGAAAGAAGAAAGATGAGATAGCAAACCCACAACCCAAGCTTTATCTCTCTTTACTCCATCATTCTAAATCCACACCTCCAGAGTGTTAAGATTACATAATATTGAAGGCTACAAATGTTGCAGATTGTAGATTTGATGTGTTAACTTTTACCAAAATCACACCTTCTTATACAAATATATACATGCTAATAAAAAATAACATATAATCAACTTGTAATTGCATATTCTCAGAGGGAAAGAAATCAGTTGATTATTTAAGTAGTAAAATGAAACCACTTCATAAAAAAAAAAAATTACTTTATGTCTATTCCTTGTGATCTTTTTCCCACAAAAAAAAGGATTTGTGTTTATGCAGTTAATGTACCTAAGCAAACAAAGCTATTTAACTCTAATAATCAATGGACATAAGAATCACATAATGCCCAAATTGATGAGGAAATTGTAATCAGAACAATGTATGACAATTGAAGCTACACTGGAAATTGGCTTTGACTTTGAACAGTGTTTGGGCCTCCACATTAAGATGATTTAGACAAGACATTTCCTAACTTAAACACTTATTTACTAGAAATTATCTTAATCACTAAAAAAATTAAAACAAAAAAGTTGAAAATATATTGGGATGTGGCCCAAATTTTACATATTTATTCTTTCAAATGTTGAAAATAACATATTTGCTCCTATAAATTCTACCACATGTCTTCGTTCATATATATATATATATCATGTCTGTCGGTATTCATGTTAAAAAATATAGTTAACCATTAGAATTCATATGAGTTTAAAATATAAAAAAAATATTCTACTCCTAACAAATTTATTTCTTTTTTATTTTTTATTTTTTTACCATGCAAACTACGTATTAATTCTCGTAGAGATCTAAAGAGGGTAATATGACATCTTACATTTAAATATTTAAATAAGTTATTTTTTAATATAAATCCTCATTTCTTAAGTCGCAAATGAGTAATCTTACCATCGTATCAAGAAAAAAAAAAAATATATATATATATATATATATATATATATATAAACTTTGGAGGGATATATGTGCAAGTTTTCCTAACATTAAAGCCCACGAGTTTGAGATAGAGTGGCGAGAGAAGAGAGCCATGGCCATCTCCGCGTTATCTGTTGCGGTTTCTAATCCTCGCCTCCTCCCCTCGCTTCCCAAATCGCACAAGGCGCCGCCTTTCCTCGCGAGGAGCGCCTCCCCCCTTCACCTGTCCCTCCCTGCGCCTTCTCTCCCCGTTGGCGACCCTGCGGAGGAGGCGGCCACCGCCTCCACCTCCTCATCCTCTTCCTTCTTGGCACCGGTGCCATCCACCAGTAGGCGGCTGTTCGGGGTGGGAGTCGGTATTTTGGCGGCCTCTTCGTTCGCATCCGATGCTAGTGCCACCAGGATAGAATACTACGCCACTGTAGGTGAGCCACTTTGTGACATGAGCTTTGCGAGGTCCGGCCTTGGTTACTGTGACGTCGCAATCGGGACCGGCGTCGAGGCACCTCGGGGCGAGCTCATCAACGTGAGTCTAAAAATTCGATCTTGGACGCTTTTGCGCTTCAGCTGCCGTCGAATTTGCAGATGGCTAAAGATGACAATTAAAAGTTCATATGAGATTAGCATATTTTCAGGAAGAAAAATGTAAATATGAGTTCATATCAGATAGCTATTTGATGTTACTTTTTTCCGTTAATCTCGTTCATTAAAAAAATTTTCATGATAAGTTGACGGCAAACTACAAATTCAAGCTCATATTCAACTTTAACTCCAATAACATAGAGGATTAGTGTCATGAAGTCCAAAATTGTGGGATGATACATTCTAGCAAACATATGGAAGAGTATAGATCTCTCATAGGGAAATATATATTGTAAATGAGTGCGATGTATGTTTATTATTTTTGTTCAAACTGACAAGGATTTGGAGAGTTCTAGATGTTCTGTCTGGAGATCTCTCCATAAGAATGACAATGAGTTTGGTTACATTAGCATTCATTTATTATCATGATAAATTTGTATTTTGTAACAGGTTCATTATACTGCACGGTTTGCTGATGGCACTGTGTTCGATAGCAGCTATAAGCGTGGAAGACCTCTTACAATGCGTATAGGTGTTGGTAAGGTATGTCTATCAACTAATTGAAATACTGAAGGATGAAAATTGAAGAAGGTCGGACAGCATGAAGATTACAGGAAAAAGTGGTTTTGAATGTCGGTACAGGAGAATCACTTACATGTGCATAACTGTCATAAATATTAGATCATTTTTTAGGATGGTATGGTATATGAGATTTTCTGTGTTTCTTGGATCAAATGGTTGCATAGGAGAAATCATGCAACAATCGAGTCTCACAAGGATCCAAATGCAGATCACATGCTGAAACAGATTTTGCTGTTCCATACAAAGAGGAAGCAACTGTGTGGAATCATATATGGTCTAGTAAATCATCTAAGAATAAAGCAATATTACGTAAATATCGACAAAGTTCTAGTCATCTTTCGAACTGATCAATAAGAGGTCAAAAGATAAAAATGATGTAGAAGTATAAAGGTTTTGAACTTTTGCTCTTAGGAAATATATCATTACCAGCCCAATGTTAGTTCTTTATATTTACAAAAGCGGAACATATAGTGTAGACAAAAGTAAATAGTCATGTTATGGCTACAGACAGATAAGCATTGCAACAATTGTTTCTGCAACATTTATCCATGTTATAGAAAAGTAACATTTCATATTTACATAGAAAGGAGAAGATAGAATAAAACCACAAGAACTGGTGAAATTCTGCATTTGTAAATAAATTTTAGATTTTTTAGTTTAAACTATCCTATGCCTGCAGTTAATTGTAGGCATAGTTTTTTCGTGTTTCTGACTGATCGTTGACACCATAATCTCAAATGCTCACTTTTTATGATTTGCTCATTTGTCTATCTTACTTAAAGGTCCTACCAGGACTCGATCAGGGAATTATAGGTGGTGGTGGTGTACCTCCAATGCTTGTTGGTATGTCATCGACTAAGCAAGCCTTGAGACTTTTAGCTTCTTCCTAACTATGTGCATTCTTGGTTTCTCAGACATGTTGTTCATTTCTTAACTCTTCCAGGGGGTAAGCGTAAACTTCTCATACCGCCATTGTTAGCTTATGGGCCAGAACCAGCAGGATGCTTTCAAGGTAAACTTCCACATTTTCAATCATAATATCTTAACGTTTTCATTTATGTGTTGAAACAAGATTATTCGCGTGATTGTAATGTTCTAGAACCGTAATCCTGTGTATGGACTCAGATTTTATGGTTCAAATGTTCATGACAGTAATTTGATTGAAGATTGGTAGATGATTTAGTGATTGCATCTTAGTAATGGTAGTAACTGCATTATTTGATTGTCACTCTTTTGTGACCATTTCCTCGCAAATTCTCCATTCATCCTCTATAAAATGGCCTAATTTGGGAAGCCTAGTATATAACTTTTCGCTAGTGTAAGTTGTCCTGTCTGCAGCACTACTAAAAAGATGGTTGTTGCTTGTAGCAACTTGACTTATTATTATTATTATTGTTATTATTATTAACTACTACTACTACTATGATTGTGAGAAGTTTAATTTGTATGCTAATTTTTTTTAATCTGTTCTCATTAAATCTTATTAGAACATAATAAAATAAAATATCAGGTCTGTTTAAACTTTGGAAGGTTTGCTGAAGTCTCAGTAATTTCCTTGGCCCGAGTATGTAATCTGAACATGAAGAGTTCACAAATAGTGTCTTTCTAGTTTTAGTGATCTCACAAGTAGAAAGTTTGTCCTCCATTATACTTAAATTATGTGGTGAAATCCCAATCATGACAGTTGCATGGTATTATAGATGAAATTATTTGAAAACTAATATTGAGTTCGAACATATCCTACTGTCAACAATTTTTTTAATTATAAGTTTATACTGAATATGCATAATTTCTGTAGGAGATTGCAACATTCCAGCCAATGCAACTCTTCTCTATGACATTCTTTTTGTTGGAGTGTACAAGTAAACATCATTACAGCAATCTTCATGGCTCCCGGTAAACGAAGGGATCACTATGCTAGTAGAAGTTCTGTACTTTTATTTCCTTCTTCACTAATAACTACAATTCTTTAGATTGTTACTCATGACAAAGGCAGCAGAACAAGATTTATTGTAAGCAGAGGGAAACAAGTTGCTTTGAAGCTCGCTTATGTTTACACAATCTGTTCTTCAGCAGTATCTTCAACCAAATGAAATTTTTTGAAGCAGCATTATGTTTTAGTCTTCAGCTTGTATCCTGAATCCTACCCCGGTGATTTATGTACATAGAAACGACAAATCATTTTATGTAAAAGTTGTACTGATGCACCATGAATGATGACAACACTCTATCCTGACTTTGCACAAGAAAATGATAAGAGAATGATGCTTAGCGTGCTTTTATCCTTACAGTGTCCATCACTATTCAGAGAATGCACTCATAGCAGATCATTTGTCCTGTTTGAATCCTGCATCAGTCTCTTTTGTATTTATTTTATTTAATTATATTTATGTAATATCATTTTTTTAATTTAACTGGCCTCATGCACTTGAATTACTAACTATTTGTATTCTTTTAATGAGTTTGACACAAATCATTAGGTTTCAAAAATTAAGCAAAATTCTCTGCCGATATGTTTATACATGAATCATAGTGTCTAAAGAGAAATCCCAGTGCCCAGTGTCTAAAGATGTTTCATAATTAACTTCAAAGACATAAAAAAAATTATTTACTATATATATATATATATATAT